TTTTGGTGTTTGCAGTAGGGGGGGCAAATGTTTCGCCGCGTGGAGGAACTGATGCTTGTTTGGCTGTAGGATTCGCGTGTGCCGTCGAAGAGTTACTGACGGTTTAGGCGCGAAGTAGTAGCGTATCCAAGCAAGCATGCCGCAAAGGTTGGCTAGCACGTCAGCTGTGTATACAATATATATGATTTGCACCGTTGGTGCAGTCGGAAGGTTCGGGCGCTGCTCGGACTCTAGCAAGACTGTTGAACGGGATTGTCTCTAGCATTGGCTTTTACCGATGCTCCAAGGGCGTGGCCCCGCTCGGTCCGGGAGTGCTGTGTATTGCGAAGAAGGCAGACTAGTCTTTTTATGCATTCTGATAACTGGATGTGGACGCGTGGCTGATTGACGGGATGTTAGGCTCTGCGATATGGAAATGGCGTGCAGCCGGTCGAAGGATCAAGCTCTGGCTTGTTCATCCTTGCAGCGGCTAAGATTCGTGACAAAGAGGGATTGCACTTCAGTGATTACATCTGAGTGTTGGGGTGAGTGGCAGAACCGTGTGGGGTTTCAGGCTTTTCTTTCAACAGTCTATATGCGCGACCAGCGCACAACTGGCAGGCTGATACGGACAGTGGCGCCTCCTCATATGGGTGCGGTCACACGCGCGACCGCCTGCACGCTGTAGTGCTGTAATGAAGCGGTGAGGATAGCTCTACCCCATGTCGTTGATCACAACTAGTTGTATGCAGGGTATTTTGATTACCTTTGTTTAGATTCCGTATGATTCTCATGGGCCGTGGATATGCACATACTACATTGGGCCCGGAGCTCGATGGAAGTGAGCGGCCGCGTCACACAACAGGCAGTACGCCCGATGTCTAGGTTTCGGGATAGAAGAGGAGTGACAGCACAGAGCTGACGCGAGAGTGGACGCCCCCACAAAAAGGCAAAAAGGCACGAATGCGTTACGCGCGTTGGGGGCAGATGCAGTGCAACTGCAGGCGGTAGGGAGAGTTGTTTTGCAGGCTGTACGCTTGACATACTGAAATGAAATGACCTGCAACGCTAGTGGGACAGGCTGAGCATTTATTTCCCGGCGTGCGGCTAGAGTATTGAAGTGAGTTGGTCAAGCGACCAATTGCGGAGGCGAGATTCTCCGACTTGAATATTGCTTCGTTTGCCGTCTGTTCAGCAAGTGCGTAGTTCAGCACCTTCAGTGGTCGAGGTTGAACGGAGCTGAGTCGTGCCAGATCATTGCGTTTCGGGGACTGAGCGGTGGGGTTTGGGTCTGCCCCCGCACCATGGCAGGTTTGTACGACAGCTGAAAGCCTCATGCGCGACTCAAAAGGCACTGCAATACGCTTTGGTGCTTGCAGTATGCTGAGGGAAGCATTTCGCGGCGTGGAGGAGCTGATGCCCGGTTTGCAATAGCTTCAGTCTTAGCCACCGAAGATGTATTGGTTGTCTAGGAGCGACACTGTATCGTATCCAAGCGAGTATGCCACAAAGGTTGGCTGGCAGGTCAAATTAGNCTAGGACGTGGTTCGGCTCGGTCCGAAGGTGCTGTGTATTGCGAAGAAGGCAAACTAGTATTTTTATCCACTCTGGCAACTGGTTGCGGAGGCGTGGCTGAATGACGATATGTTGGACCCCGGCGATACCGAAATGTCGTGGAACCGGCAGAACGATCAACCTCTGGCTTGTTCATCCTTGCAGCGGCTAAGATGCATGACAAAGAGGGATTGCATTTCAGTGATTGCATTTGAGCTTTGGCGTCAGTGGCAGAACCATGTGGGGTTTCCGGCTTTTCTTTCGACAGTCGATACGCGTGACCCGCGCACAACTGGCAGGCTGATACGGACAACGACGCCTCCTCATATGGGTGCGGTGAGACGCGCGAGCGCCTGCACGCCGTAGTGCTGTAATGAAGCGGTGAGGATGGCTCTACCCCATATCGTTGATTAT